CTTTATGTAGTAGAAAACCACCAAGACGTCCTGCGCGGGCAACTCAACAAGCCTCCATGCCCACATGGGGGCAAATTAAGTCACTTTGCCATCAAGCACAAGGAATAGCTTCTCTACAGAGATCTTCAGCGTCTCCTGAAAGGGTTTTTATTGCTATGCTTGCTTTACTTTCTTGCCAGTTAAGTGCTACCTCTTCCACATCAGAAAAATACTGAGCATATTTCCCTGATCCCCCAACCTTCCAAGTAGTTACTTGGAACAATGACCCTATAGGGGTCAACACAAACCAGCCTCATCTCTTGGGAGGATCCTATGCTTCCTATGATAAAGATCACCATCCCATTAATTTTAACTATACTTTTAAGGGATTAACAGATGACCTTCCCGTTTGCTTTAACTTCCCCATAGTTATACAAGAGATCTTATCACCCCCTCTAAAGAGGGGTGTGTCGGAGTCTCCAAAAAGCAATTCTGACAGATTCTCCAGCATCAAAATTTTCAGATAAAGCAGGAGATTGGCTGGTTTGGATATTACAGGCCCATATGCCTGGGGTCCTTGACCCCTATAAATCCTTGTTCCTCAATGTTTCACCAAAATATCCAAATTGTATTGATGTTGCTCCTTCAGACGTCGTATGGAAAACTATAGACAACCTCCTGGGATATCCGGTATGGAAATCTTGTACTTATAATTCGAAAATAGATTATAGAATACCAGGAGGAGGAAACTATTCGATACAAGACTGGAGCAATCCAGACCCGAGTCAGGATCCAGGATCTGTTCCTGACTATGCCAATTGGTTTAGCAATTGGAAAGATGATTCCGACCCTTGGCCGCTGGCGGCCAGCAAATGGCATTATAATCAATTTGTTCCCCCCATGTTGTCCTATACAACTAAGGGCAAAACTTTTTGGCAGCCAGAAATTTGGAGAGCCCCTGCTGACATCTCCCTTGTTACTCTATCTCGGCCAGAAAATGATTCCACCTATTCTGTGCTGGCTTGTTTACCCTCCCCTTACGCTTTTTTGTTCACTGATGACTCTAAAAGGCTTCATATACAGATGAACTATTCAGGTGGACCAGATATAGCTTACTGTGAACAGNATAAAACAGCATAAAGAACGTGATCACACAAAGGCCCTAATAGGCATAGAGCCCTTCGGGGGTGAGGAAGCCCTATTAGGAAACACAAGAAAAATTATTCTAAAAGTGGTTATTGGGTCAATGTTTGCTTGCTGTGTTTTTGCTCTTAATGTGCTAAGGTTTTGCAGTGGAAACCATTGTTAATATAGTTAAAAATTTAGAAAAATAAGAGCTTAGCCCTAGTGTGGTAACAATGAGATGGTTGTTAATTATTAGCCAGGAGTGCTAGGCAGGGGCTGCCTCACCGAAGCCAGCCACAGAGTCTGTGTGGGGTAAACCTCTGAGATAAATTCAACTGACAGCTTCTGCAGAAGAATTGACCTTTGTGTTGACAAGGTTATATTTCTACTATGTTGTGACATGCTGTACTGTTGTCCTATGAGACTGCAACTTTTCTGTTAAGATCACCACAGAAACGGAAAATAGGTTTACAGTCACCTGACTTGCATAAAATGTCAATAGGCCCCAAGGCCAGAAGATAATGTGCAAAGATCTACTATAGAAATAGAATGCAGAAAACATCCTGTTCTTCCTAAAGGACAAACTGATGTAATGTTAAACTGCCGGAGCCGGCACACGAGATCCCACCCATGACAAGGTCCTGAGGAGAAAACCTGACAGGCAAGGCGGATCAGGTTTTCAGGGATTCCGAAAAGCTGCCCCCGGCGCTCACCTTAAAGATGATAGCTGTCTTTTTGATGCTTGCTTCAATAGACTGAAGAAGGAATTCATAGGGCCTGGACTCCATCTCAGGCCTGTCCGTGCTGATGGGGCACGGCCGCCTCTCCAGTGGACTCTGAACTCTGTGCTTAGCGCCTGTGGGAATGACAGTGGAAGGATACGACCCCCACTGGGCAGGGGAATCTTGAAGATCACATCCAGGTTACTCATTGCCTAAGAGAAAACAGACACTAATCATCCCTGCCTCGGACAGTATCTATCGGAATGTAACCACAGGCTTATTGATTATTAACTGTTTGAACACACAACACGTGAATGATGGGATTATTGTGATTGTATTTACCCTTCCTTTGTAAGCCTCTAGGGATTTGGGCTGGTGGGTTTGGACACGTACACATGGGGTATAAAAGATTTTCACAAATGCTGGTCGGGGTCCTTGGCTAAGAGGAGACTTGGGCCTTAGGACCACTGGTGTAATACACTGCACTCCACCATAAAAAAAAAAAAAAAAGAAGAAGAAAAGCTTCCTCTGACTGTTGCTCATGGTCAGAAGCCAGTACAGTGAGACAAGTCAACAAGTGTTTGTAGGCTCCCTCCGTGTGCAAAAGCTTTTTCTTCTAGAAAGGGAGAAGTCTTTGGGGCCTCAGGATCAACAAATACCAGTTGAATCTAATTGAGTTTGAAATATTAACTTTCCTTTTGGAAAACAGAGGAATTTGCATTTCTGAACAATTGATTCATTGCCCTCCAGATGACCATGACTATTGACTTGGAATTCCTTTTATTTTGATGAAGTGCATATCTGCCTCTCCTTCTAAGTTTATCTGGATCTTCCAGAACTTACATACCTCCAGCCACTCCCATCCAGCCAGTTGGCCTTTGGGTTGGCTGGCTGGATCTGTTCGCTGTTCATTCCTTCCTCCGAGGCAGGGATACAGATGGCATCTCTCAGCACCCCAGCCCTGGTGTGTGCTGTGCTGAGTTGCTTCAGTCGTGTCTGACTCTTTGTGACCCCCTGGACTGGAGCCCGCCAGGCTCCTCTGTCCATGGGGTTCTCCAGGCAAGAAGACTGGAGTGGGCTGTCCCACCCTCCTCCAGGGGATCTTCCTGATTCAGGGATCGAACCCACTCTCTTACGTCTCCTGCGCTGGCAGGCAGGTTCTTTACCACTAGTGCCACCTGGGAAGTCCCAGCCCTAGTAGCGTCTTTATTTATTATAACTTGGTTCTCCTTTAATAGGTTGGGTGTTCCATAGAGACGTTTAAAATCTGATCCAGAATTTCAAGTCTATGTCTCCTTACCAACCTAGTCAATTTAGGGCTTTTAGGTGAACTAGGGGTAATATGGTTTTATTCTCTGTTTCCATTTGCAGCCTGCAGTTGAAAGCATAACCTTCCATTTCTGTCTTTCAAAACTCAACCTGATTCATTGCTTTTGTGTTTTTCCACTGAAGCTGAATCATCTCCAGTTATGTTAATCACCTCTAGTTAGGTCTGTTTTTTTCTAGGACCAGAATCTTAATTTTTTGTTTGTTTGTGGCTTCCCTGGTGGCTCAGATGGTAAAGAATCCACTTGCAATGCAGGAGACCTGGGTCGGAAAGATCCCCTGGAAAAGGTCATGGCAGCCCACTCCAGGACTCTTGCCTGGAGAATTCCATGGACAGAGGAGCCTGGCCCGCTACAGTTCGTGGGCGAGCAAAGAATCGGACATGACTGAGCGACTGACACGCTTCGCTTTGCTTGTTTTGAGTCGCTCGGGCCGTTGTGTGCTGTGGCTGTGCTGGGTCTCTTGCTGCGGGCGGGCTTTCTCTGGTTGTGGGAGCGGGGGCTGCTCTCCGCTTGCGGAGCGCCGCTTCTCCTTGCGGTTGCTTCTCTCGCTGTGGAGCTTGGGCTCTCGGCTCACGGGCTCCCGTAGCTGCAGCCCGTGGCTCAGTGGCTGTGGCTCACGGGCATAGCTGCCCCACCCCATGTGGGACCTTCGTCGGCCAGGGATCAAACCTGTGTCCCCTGCGTTGGCAGCTGGATTCTTAACCACTGGACCACCAAGGAAGTCCTTGATTTTTTTTTTTTTCCTTTAAGCAACTTGCTACTCAAAATGTGATCCAAAGACTACATTAGAAATACAGTTTCCAGATACCAGCCTCACGTAATGAACCTGCACTTTAATAAACTCTCCAGTTGATTTGTATGTGCATCAAAATGTGAGAAGCACTGATTGACTTAAGATTTTCTTTTTACAAATTACACTGTCAAGATGTAAAGGGACACATTTCCATTAAACACCTTTTGGACATTTTTTTTCCTAACATTTTATTATGAAACATTTCAAATGTACAGCAAAGTGGAATGAGTTCTACAGTAAGCTCCCTGGACTGTCCACCCAGATCCAACCATTAACTTAATTATTTTCCTTCCCTTTCCCCCCAGCTTTCCATCAAGAACTTCATACAGAGGGACTGCCCTGGCGGGCCAGTGGTTCAGACTCCAAGCTGCCGCTGAAGGGACCTGGGTCTGACCCTGGTCTGGGTACTGCAATCCTGCATGCTGCGCAGTGCAACCACAAAAAAAGTACAGACTGCTCTTTTAGTTGGGAATTCCAAATAAATGCCAATAAAGTCCACGTGGTCAGGACTCGGTGCTCTCGTTCTATCCCTGGTAGGAGAACGAAGGTGCAGCCAAAAATCCAAACTAGAGCTGCTGTTGTATAGCATGCTACGTTACAGCCTGACTGTTAGGAAGGAGCACGTCTTGGTAGGAAGGGTCTCACCCCTTCTTCTAGAGTCCTTGATGGGTTTGACACGTTTGCAGTTGGTTTCTCGTGAGTCAGGGAAACATGATGGGGCGGGAGTCGGGGAGCACTGCTATTTCACAGAGTGGGGTGCTGGCTCCTATCCCCCGATCTGGAACATGGGCCTCAGAATATTCCCCCCCATTCAGTGAGCGGGTTCAGACATCGTCCCTAATGTTAATTCCAGCCCTGTAATCATCAGCCTATTGCAAATATTATTAGCATCACTAATTCTCAGGTGGAGAAACTGATGAACCCGTTCAATACTCGAATAAGAAGGAAAACATGTGTTGGCATGGGAAAGTGATTATTTCCTAAGCTACTGAGTAAAACACAGCTGCACTGGCAGTTTTACCTCTGTTTTCTTGTCAATTTCTGTCCTTTCAGGAAACCTGACAGACACACGAAGCCTTCCACCATCTGGAACTCAGAAACTCGACTGGGGAGGACTGTGGCTTCTGGACCGTCCAGGTGTTTCACAGATGTGAGCGTTTATCCCGCACTCACCAGCTGGAGCCCCGAACAGCTGCACGGCCTGTGCCCCGGCTCACACCGTCCTGAACTGAGGGCTCGTTTTCCCAGTGGCCGAAAGCAGCTGCTGACACTGCGGTCTGACTGCCGCACACTGCCCGCCCCCTCCCAGAGCTGGGCTGGAGAAAGCCACGTTCAGGGCTGGAGTCTCCTGACTTGAATTAGGATTCCAGGTGGGGGCCTCGTTTCTGTAGCCCCCAACACCCCGATAGGTGTCCCCATCACCCCCGGTGTCTTCTGGCAGACTCCACCACCGTGTCACTTCACAGACTCAGAATCCTCCCCGATCACCATGGCCTGGCTTTCCCTAAAGGTCTTGTTGGTGGGGCTGAGTTTCCTGGGATGTCTTTATCCTCTCGTGGATTTTAGCTTCAGTGGGGAAACAAGAGGCCAGAGACCGAATTTCGTGATCATTCTGGCGGATGACATGGGGTGGGGTGACCTGGGAGCCAACTGGGCAGGCACAAAGGACACCGCCAACCTGGACAAGATGGCTGCAGAAGGAATGAGGTGAGCCGGGGGTGCTGAGCCAGCATCGCTGTGCGTGTCCTACCCCGACTCGCCAGGGGAAGAGGGCTGTGTAAAAACACTCAGAGAGCAATTGACGGGTCCATGTTGATTTAGTTAATTGACTGATGAATTGGTTTTTCAGCTAGTACAGCATCATGAAGAAATCCATCCATCCATCCATCCATCCATCCATCCATCTATCCATCTATTCATCCATCCATCCATGCATATCTTCATCCACCCATCCTTTCATCCATCCATCCTTTCATCTATCCATTCATCCACCCCTTTATCCATCCATCCATCCATCCATCCATCCATCCATGCATCCATCCATTCATCCATCCACCCCTTCATCCATCCATCCATCCATCTATCCATGTATCCATTCATCCATCCATCTATCCATCCATTCATCTATCCATTCAGCCATCCAGCCATCCATTTATCCATTCATCCACCACTTCATCCATCTATCCATCCACCCCTTCATCCATCCATCCATCTATCCATCCATCCATCCATCCATCCATCCATCCATCCATCCATTCATCCATCCACCCCTTCATCCATTCATCCATCTATCCATCCATCCACCCCTTCATCCATCCATCTTTCCATGTACCCATTCATCCATCCATGCATGCATCTATCCAATAACACTTTTTTTTTTTTTTGGGTTCTGCTCCTCAACCTTTTATGATCTTAGTTCCCTGATCAGAGATCAAACTCAGGGCCCCAGCACTGAGAACAGTGAGTCCTTGCAGCTCAGGGATTCTGACAACACTAACCGTGTGTGTGTGTGTGTGTGTGTGTGTGTGTGTGTGTGTGTGTGTGTTAGGAAGTGGAAACACAAAGGTGAACAAGATAAAAATCCTTGCCTTCAAGGTCTCTTAGTGGGGACAGGTTGAAAGCAAAGTACAGATTACAATCTAGTCCATGAGCTTGAATCAGGAGTTTTTGGAGTCTGTGGGGAGGATGTGGACCCAACCTGGAAGTTTAAGGGAGAAGGTGACCTTTGGAGAGTGACTGAAAGTCAGTGGGGCATACAAAGGCCAAAGGACTTAATTGTGAGCTGACAGGATTTATGGTCCATTTATGGTGCACGAAACTCTGAAGACTGCAGAATGGAAGAGGGGTGTATATCTGAACCAGTCCAAGTGTTTATAAATTTTTTGCTCCAGTGCAGCTTTCCCCTCCTTGAAAGTGAGACTGAGAAAAAGTGTCGGGCTTCCAGACTTTGGGTTTCCCTTATTGGGTGGGGGTCACTCTGACTGGCCAGATCCCGTTTGACAGGGTTAAGTTCCTCCAGTGGGGAATCACCCCCGCCGGCTTGTTGGGACAGCTCACAGGCTTCTCTGGAGTTTCACCCATGAGCATCCTCACACTTAGAGCTTTCTCCTAAGATAGGGACCCTGTGGTCCCTGCATCTGGTGTCGCTCACTCTCATCCATCCTCCTCCCCTCAGCCAAGAGGAAGTTTCAAGAAACATCTTCCTGTTTCCAGCCTCTCAAAGGCATTTAGTAACCCTGAGGATAAGATCTGAACTCCAAGGAGCAGCGTACAAGCCCAGCCCACCCCCTGCCCTGGTCCTCCGCAGGCCCCTCCTGTCTGGACCAGCTGTAGTCCCCTCATGGCTTCAGCTGCTTTCCCCCTCTGTTTAAGCCTCATCTGTGTCATGAGTTCTTTTGTTGTTGTGGTGATTTGTCGCTCAGTCTTGTCCAACTCTTTTTTTAATACACCTTTTATTTTGTGTTAGAGTGTGGTTGATTTACAATATGATCGTTTCAGGTATATAGTGAAGTGATTCAGTTATACATGCACACACAGCCATTCTTTTCCAGATTCTTTTCCCATGTGGGTCATTACAGGGTACTGAGCAGAGTTCCCTGCGCTGCACAGTAGGTCCTTGTTGGTTATCCATTTTATAGATAGTGATTAGTTTTTCTTGATACACTTTCCACTTGTCTATTGTTATTCAGTCACTAAGTTGTGTCCAACTCTGCGACCCCATGGACTGCAGCACACCAGGCTTCCCTGTCCTTCACTATCCCCCGGAGTTTGCTCAAAGTCATGTCCACTGCGTCAGCAATGCCATCCCACCATCTTATCCTCTGTTGTCCCCTTCTCCTCCTGCCCTCAATCTTTCCCAGCCTCAGGGTCTTTTCCAATGAGTCAGCTCTTCACATCAGGTGGTCAAAAGTATCTGAGCTTCAGCTTCAGCATCAGTCCTTCCAGTGAATATTCAGGGTTGATTTCCTTTAGGATGGACTGGTTTGATCTCCTTGCTGCCCAAGGGACTCTCAAGAGTCTTCTCCAGCACCTCAGTTCGAGAGCATCAGTTCCTCAGTGCTCGGCCTTCTGTACTCCTCTCCTGTTTAGTTTCCGCTCACCACCTGGTTCCCAGCTGCACGTGAGGGCCTCAGGATGGCTTCTTTGGCTGTCTTCTGTGTACCCTGTCATCATCTCTGCCGCTCTCCGTGGTGACTGCTTAACCATCTGACCACCTGTGTTGGGTTCAGAAGCGTCAGCACCAAATTCACGTCTGCCCAGAGCGTCAGAATGTGACCATATTTGGAAATAGGGTCTTTGCAAATGTCACTAGTTGAAGATCTCTGTGATATCTTTACTTGATTTAGAGTGGTCCTAAACCCAACTGCTGGTGTCCTTATAGGATGAGGAGAAGACACAGGGACACAGAAGAGAAGGTGAAGTGAGGATGGAGGCAGAGGATGGAGTGATGCACCCACAAGGGTTGCCAGGCAACCCTCGGAAACGGGGGAGGCCTGGGATGGGCTCTCCTGATGAACCTGCAGAAGGAGCCGACCCTGCCGCCACCTTGACTTCAGGCTTCTTGCCTCCCAAACTGTGAGAGTCAGTTTCTGTTATCGCAGGCCACCCAGTTTGTGGTTATCTGCTACGGCAGCCACAGGAGACCCCACAGAGCCCTTCGAGCTCTGGGCTTCGGGAAGAAAAATGCCTCGTCTGTCCCCGTACCCTTGTATTCCTGCACCATGCCTGGAGCCTAGTAGACAATTCATAAACATTTGTTCGTCAATAATTGGGCTTCAGGAGGTCCAGGTGCTTTGAAATGTCTCCCCAGGTTTTTCATGTCAGATTTTTTTTCCTCCCCGGGGAGAGAGTTAATCCGTAGCATCGACCAGAGCCTCAACGGGAACTGGGTTGCCTAATGCTCAAGGCCCCGTGCTTTCCATGTCGAGTGGGCTTGTGGGGAAGTATGTGGCCCATTACTTAAACCGAGATTTGTGAGGCCCCGGGCTCTCCTCGGGAGCCGTCCCCACCTGCGTGCTCAGCCCCAGCGGAAAGGGCCTCTCGGGGGCCAGAGGCCCCGCACGTGGGGGCCGCTCCTGCCTCCCCCCCCGGCTGCTGCAGCCTTGTGACCGGGCCCTGGGCCTGTGTCGACAGCTCTTCACTCTGCACTCTGTTGACAGGAAAGCGCGCTTCCTGTGAGGCCAGGGTTGATTCACTGCGGGCTTTTCCCTGCCTGCCTGCTGGCCGCTGGTGGGGAACCGTGACTCTCGGAAGGAGCGCGTATTGCCCAACAGGGGCCAAGGGGGACTTGAGAAACTCTGTCTCCTGTTATCTTCCTTTTATTTGTGGGCTCGTTTCCTAGGATGGTGGCAACCCGTTACTACAGACGAGGTGGCCTCCGTGAGAAAGAATGAAATGTCGGGGCTTCCCGGTGGGTCAGTGGTTAAGACCCCTCACTCCCACTGCAAGGGGCGAGAGTTGATTCCCGGTCATGGAACCATCATCCCACAGGCCTAGGGGCACAGCCGAAAGTAAATGAATATATGAAGGCGTGAGATGATGCCATTTGCGGCAACGAGGATGGACCTCGAGATGAACTTGCTAAGTGAAGTGAGTCAGAGAAAGACAAACACCGTGTGATGTCGCTTACATGTGGGGTCTAAAAACACTGAACCTGTTTACAAAACAGAAACAGATTCACAGATGTAGAGAACAAACAAAGTTGCAAAAGGGGAAAGGTGAGGAGGGTGGATTGCGAGTTTGGGGTTAGCAGATACACACCACTGCATATAAAACAGGCACAGAGAATTACAGTCAGTATCTTGTAATAACCTATAATGGGAAAGAATCTGAAAAAGAATATATAAAAGGAAGTCAAGGAATGGGGACTTGGGCATGTAAGCTAGTATGCATAGAACGGACAAACCGGATCCTACTGCAGAACACAAGGAAGTGCCTTCACTAGCCTGTGACAACCTGCCGTGGGAAAGAACATGAAGAGCGTGTGTAACTGAGTCGCACTGCTTACAGCAGAAGTTAACAGAGCCTTGTAAATCAACTCTACTTCAGTAAAATTTACCAAAAAAAGGATAGACATATATATATATAATGGTGTCTCAGCTGGTAAAGAATCTGCCTGCAATGCAGGAGACTCAGTTTGATCCCTGGGTTGGGAAGATCCCCTGGAGAAGGAAGTGGCAGCCCACTCCAACCCCCTTTGGTTCCTGCTGCCACCCGAGGCTGCACTTCGTCCACAGGTGAGGGCTCAAGGTCAGGCAACTGGCACAGAGTTAGTGAGTGGCGGAGTCAACATCCTCCCGTCGAGAGCCTTCTCGTCAAGGGCTGCTGGGAGACGGGAGTTTGCCAAGAGCGTCCTTCAAGGCCTGGGCCGGCTTGCCGGGAAGAGGGAAGGCAGCTGTTGAAGGGGGTGGGGGTTGGAATCTGGTAGTTTTCCTCCGTTTGAAGCTGGCAAAGGACTTGTGAGCTGCGCAGGTGGAGGGGCGGCTGAGAGCTGTGGTTTAGTCGTCAGCCATTGTCTTCTGGTTTGGTTTTCTGTTTGGCCTCACTTTGAGGCTTGTGGCTCTTGGTTCCCCAGCCAGGGATGGAACCCCTCCAGTGCGAGCCTGGAGTCCTAACCACCTGACCGCCAGGGAGGCCCCCATCCATTTCTTGTTCAGCCTGTGGTCCATGCAGTTCCCCGCTGCCCTGATTAGCTGCTATTTGAATCT